GAGCAGAGATGTTAGAAGCTTTGTCGGCTATGTTCTTGGACAAATGCAAAAAAAAGCCATCTGCCTCGGAACCGATCCTACGACGTCTCGCCTAAGAAACCCGCTCCCTACCCGTTGCGCTCTACTACCACGTTTCATCATGACTCCATACATAAATGTAAGACGCGCTTCCATTCCTCGCCGATAGCATGTGAAACGACCACGCGGGGATAAGACCCTCCATAACTCCGTTCAGAGAATCGTTCCGCAAATTCTGAAGGTAGATTTGAGTTCACTGTCCCAAGACGCGTGCAGCTCATTGGAAATGGCCAGGCTGACCTGTTGACCTTTCCTGGTTAGCTCAAGAAAGATTTTCTTTGATAGAGGATTTTCCCGTTCCTCAAGTGCTACAATAGTTTTCAAAATGAATGGATGATGGACTGATCCGGAGGACTCAGATGTCACTGGAAAGAGGGAGTCTCTCCAGTGTTTGATTCTGTTTTGTCCTCGGTCTCGTACTACTTGAGCTATAGTCCCAGAAATGTTGAAAACTCGCGCTCTCAGGAACTTTTTATCAAATCGGGAAAAAAATCCCCAGCGGCGGATTTTTTCCCAAAAAGTGGACTTTTTTGGAAGATTCAGAAGCCCCTGGAAAAGGTTTTTGAGGCGGAGCCGTGACACCTCCTTCGTGACCACTGTAGTACTAATCTGTTAGAAGCTCCCAAATGACCCCCTCCACAGCTTTGCAAAATGTTTTTTAGGGAAGTGAGAATCTTTCGAAAAACCTTCATGGCACAGTGGTGGTGTAGGGTAAACAGCGCGCTCCAACGCTGAAATACAACGCAGGTGAAACAAAACCGCATTCAAAATTACGTGGTTTTAACTAGTTAGGTTTAGCGGAGTACAGAGTCGCGTGAGGGGTACCGACGGAGCAATTTCCTCAACGCGATATTTAACTCTTTTCTAAGAATACAGGCAGGACCTGAACACTATTGGCGGGTGGCAGAATGTGTGATAAGATCCGACAAGAGGCGTTAGAAGGGGAGGGTCGGCAAACTGATAACGCGGGTCGCAGCAACGATGGGGACTTTGGCTCCATGATACAGTCCTCATCATTACGAACTGTCGGAGCGGCACAGGCGTGCGTTAGGCTGCGTTTATACTTTGCGGCAGCGTAGCGTAGCGCTTCCAGCGTACG